CTTGAGCACCCCCCAAAAAGAGGCTAAAATCGTCACTGTTAAATAATATCCATTATTGTGTTTTTAGAAGTTGAGTTGGCTGTGAAGAATCATAATCAGCACATCCAAATCTGAGGTCATGGTCCTCAGTCAGAAAAGGGTGGATTGTTCTCTTCAGGTGGAGGGTGAGGTTCTGCCTCATGTGGAGGAGTTCAAGTTTCTCGGGGTTTTGTTCACGAGTGAGAGAAAAATGGAGCGTGAGATTGACAGACAGATTGGTGCAGCATCTGCAGTATTGTGGACTCTGTACCGGTCTGTTGTGGTGAAGAGGGAGCAGAGCTGTAAGGCAAAGCTCTCTGTTTACCGATCAGTCTACATTCCTATCCTCACCTATGGTTATGAACTCTGGTGACTGAAAGAATGAGATCACAGATACAGGTGGTTAAAATGAGTTTCCTCTGCAGGGTAGCTGGACTCTCCCTTAGAGATAGGGTGAGGAGTTCATTTATCTGGAGAGACTCAGACTACTGCTCCTCCACATCGAGAGGAGTCAGTTGAGGTGGTTCAGACATCTGGTAATGATGCTCCCTGGGCACCTCCCTAGGGAGGCGCTTCAGGCATGTCCGACTGGGAGGAGACCTCCCAGAGACTTCCCAGTCTCCAGACACCTTGGAGTCCTCCCAGAAGAGCTTGAAGAGGTGGCTGTAGAAAAAGATGTCTGGTCTTCCCTGATCAAGCTGCTGCCCCTGAGACCCAACTTCGGAACAAGCGGAAGATCCTTTTAAAAGGGAGTTTTTCCTTTTCATTGTTGCCACTGTGCTTGCTCAGGATGGGAGACTGCAACGAAGCCAAGATTCAATTTGTCTGCTGGATTCCTTAGATAGAGAACTTTATTAATTGGCTTTTATGTACAAACCGGATTCCAAAAAAGTTGGGACACTAAACAAATTGTGAATAAAAACTGAATGCAATGATGTGGAGATGGCAAATGTCAATATTTTATTCGTAATATAACATAGATGACAAATCAAAAGTTTAATCTGAGTAAATGAAACATTTTAAAGGAAAAATATGTTGATTCAAAATTTCACAGTGTCAACAAATCCACAAAAAGTTAGGACAAGTAGCAATAAGTGGCTGAAAAAAGGAAATTGAGCATATAACAAACAGCTGGAAGACCATTTAACATTAATTAGGTCAATTGACAACATGATTGGGTATAAAAAGAGCTTCTCAGAGTGTCAGTGTCTCTCAGAAGCCAAGATGGTAAGAGGATCACCAATTCCACCATTGTTGTGCAGAAAGAGAAGCCAAGATGGTAAGAGGATCATCAATTCCACCATTGTTGCGCAGAAAGATAGTGCAGCAATACCAGAATGGTGTTACCCAGCGTAAAATAGCAAAGACTTTTAAGTTATCATCATTAATCATGCGTAACATCATCAAAAGATTTAGAGAATCTGGAACAATTGCTGTGCGTAAGGGTCAAGGCCGTAAAACTCTACTGGATGCTCGTGATCTCCGGGCCCTTAAACGTCACTGCACCTCAAACAGGAATGCAACTGTCAAGGAAATAACAGAATGGGCTCAGGAATACTTCCAGAAAGCATTGTCAGTGAACACAATCCACCGTGCCATCCGCCGTTGCCAGCTGAAACTCTACAGTGCAAAGAGGAAGCCATTTCTAAGCAAGCTCCACAAGCTCAGACGTTTGCACTGGGCCAGGGGTCATTTAAAATGGAGTGTGGCAAAATGGAAGACTGTTCTGTGGTCAGATGAGTCACAATTTGAAGTTCTTTATGGAACATTGGGACGCCATGTCATCCGGACCAGAGAGGACAAGGATAGCCCAAGTTGTTATCGAGGCTCCATTCAGAAGCCTGCATCACTGATGGTATGGGGTTGCATGAGCGCTTGTGGCATGGGCAGCTTGCATGTCTGGAAAGGCACCATTAATGCAGAGAACTATGTTCAGGTTCTAGAAGAACATATGCTCCCATCTAGACGTCATCTCTTTCAGGGAAGACCCTGCATTTTTCAACACGATAATGCCAGACCACATTCTGCAGCAATCACAACATCATGGCTACGTAGGAGAAGGATCCGGGTACTGAAATGGCCAGCCTGCAGTCCAGATCTTTCACCTATAGAGAACATTTGGTGCATCATAAAGAGGAAGGTGAGACAAAGAAGGCCCAAGACGATTGAACAGTTAGAGGCCTGTATTAGACATGAATGGGAGAGCATTCCTATTTCTAAACTTGAGAAACTGGTCTCTTCTGTCCCCAGACGTCTGTTGAGTGTTGTAAGAAGAAGGGGGGATGCCACACAGTGGTAAAAATGGACTTGTCCCAACTTTTTTGGGATTTGTTGACACCATGAAATTTCGAAACAACAAATTTTTCCCTTAAAATGATACATTCTCTCAGTTTAAACTTTTGATCTGTGATTTGTGTTCTATTCTGAATAAAACATTAGATGTTGGCACCTCCACATCATTGCATTCAGTTTTTATTCACAATTTGTTTAGTGTCCCAACTTTTTTGGAATTCGGTTTGTATGTGAATGTTCCTGTAAAGTGCCCTGAGACAACTTTGTTGTGACTTGGCGCTATATAAATAAACTGAATTAAATTGAAAGATCAAAGAATGGATGGATGGAGTTGTCTGTGGTAGCCATAATGAATGGAATTGACACCAAATATTATTCATTTGTAGATGTACATCCAGTGATCATTATGCGTCTGAAATCATCATGTTAGTCTGTCTCCAGACTCAGGCCTGTTGCAAAAATAGATCTGTGAGCTCAGTGGGATTTGCCTGGTTAAATAAAGGTTAATTAATATATAAATAAATTACTTCCTGTGTTTTATTAAAATGTGTCCAGTGGGTCATGAGGTAGTTTACTAACAGACAGGCAGTTTATTCCAAATGGTTCACAAAATTTTAAATAAAGATCTTGTGCAATTCTTTCTCACTCAGAATATGTTTAGTCTCAGATACTACACACCTCGGTTGGCCTGGGAACACCTTGGAGTCCTCCCAGAAGAGCTGGAAGACGTGGCTGTGGAGAAACATGTCTGGGCCTCCCTGCTGCTGCCCCCGCGACCCAACTTCCAAACAAGCAGAAGATAATCGAAGGATGGAAACTACATGCCAGATTTTAGCTCAATATCTGTGAAAATGATTGCACTGTAGCCAATTTGTGTTTTTTAAGTTCAGTTCATGTTGAACTGTTCATGTTGGGGGAGTGGTGGCGCAGCGGTTAGAGAAGGTGGGCCTGTGATCGGAAGATCACCGGTTCAAACTCCGGTACCAACAACATAAAAAAAAAATGTGGGTGGGGTAGGTGAAGCACCTGCCCCCACCCTCATTCGTCCCACTCTGGGCCCTTGAGCAAGGCCCTTAACCCCCACCATCTGCTCTTCCGGGTGTCCTAGATATCAGCTCTCTGCTCCACACAGAGGGCTGTGGTAGCTCGGTGGTCCGTGGTTGTGCCAGGAAGGACATCCGGCGTAAAAAAAACTGCCAAGTCTTTGTGCAACTTAGTTCACTGTGGCGACCCCGAACACTGGGAGCAGCCGAAAGAAGAAGAAGAAGAAGAGAAAAAAAGTTCAGTTCATGTTGGAGAAATTCTCTCGTTTTCTACCTTTGTTTACTCAAAAGAACCACAACTTATGGCAGGTGAACATTTTTAACAAGTGTTTTACTTGTAAAGGTTCCATACATAAACACACATGCATGAAGACCGGTCACAGAAACGAGCCACGAGCGCTGTTACCTGCTCGCTTTTATAACACTCTCAGCTCAGCAGAGTTCAGTGGGAGTCTGAAGCCAGCTGCAGCCTCCACACAGCACTCTGTCTGCACAAACATATGGTTCATGGGCATCATCCTTCAGTTTGACATAAGAGAGTGTTCTGGGAGAAAATTGAGTTGTTCTGGGAAACAATCGAGCCAAGTCATTTGTCAGCAGGGCAGAGCCACAATAATAAAGCACAATAAAAACATTCATAACTTTTGACCAAAAATTCTCTGACAGTTCAACTGAAAGATGGCAGCCATCTTGAATCAGGTTGACTCCATCTGTTTATGAAAGTACATTAAATGAGTACATTTTGCAAGTTTTATTTAAATATGTTTAGATTTTTATGAAGCATTATGGAAGTAAATACAGAAAATTACATACATGTACTGGGACAGTCACAGGCAAAAACTTTATCACCAGCATTTTGTCTTTTAATGGTGGGTGATACTGAGCTAATTAATTCAAAATGTTTGCAGAGTAGTTATCGTGGTCATTGTTTAATTTGTATAATACCTTGTGGAGTTTATATTTTTATTAAATGAATGCTATCTGCCATATGTTTCAGCCTTGTAGTAACTGGTGTGCTCACTTGTCTTTACACAGTTTACTCTGAAAATGAAAATACCTTCACAAAATGAACCTTGTGTTTCACTGAAGAACGCCTTAAAGACCATAAACAGGCAACAACCGTACCTTTGTTCTGTCTACTGTATATTACCAATAAATGTTTGTAGTTGAGCATCAGCAATGGTCAACAATTCTGTTAAGAAATATGGAAATCTAATTTGTGTGGAAAAATCTTCATTTTTAAAAGTGAAAAGCTGTAGACTCTCTGTATCCTGATGCATGCTCAATAAACTCTCTGGGTACAATAAAAATGGTTGTCTTCATAAGTACTGCTCAGAGTGCCACCAGAAGACAAGTTGAACTTGCTTCATTACACAATTAATATCCAGAGATCTACTGATGTAAATATCACGAGTAGAATAAAAATATGCTGATACTTCAATGGAAAATAGTTGAGTATTGAAAAAAATGACGCCTCAAAAAGTTTTAAATTATTTTTTTTTTATCTTAATTTCATCTCCCAAAGGGCACATGTCTGACAGTGGAATATTATTGATTTTCTTCAACTAATTTATTCACTTTCAGCTTCATCCCTACAGATGAGCACACACATCTGAGCTCCCATTCGCCTGTGTTCTCGTCCTTTAGGTCGATATCTGCGACTGAAGATGTTCCGCGAGGATCACGGCTCCTGGATGACCATGTTCTTCAGCACTATCCTCTTCCTTTTCATCTTCTCACACATCTACAACCTTTTCCTGCTGATGGCTGGAAGCATGGAGTAAGACATTTAATTTCTCTTCTTTTTCCTCGCATTACCTTACATTCACCCAATCCTTCCCATTTGTTAGAACTTTTGTATTCTTCCTTTTCGATGGTGTGATTGATTTTAACGTCTTGCCTGAACAGAGACTCGATACCAGCCTGATTAATCAGCCCAGACTTTAAATCACAAGTGGGCCATAGGAAAGGGGGAAGAGAGTTAATCCTGAAAGATCATCTTCAGCACCAGTGCTTATTTTCCAATGATCATATCTTATTTCTTGACACTTGTATGACTGAAAACCAAAATGTTGTTGTCATGTCTCTCAATCTTGATTGTATTTTTTTACTGCTCCAGTTTACCTGCTGAGACTCCGGTGTGCACAGCAGAGCATGACACCCACACATCAAGCTTGTGACAGGAATCCATTCATGCATTAGCAGTCTGTCCATTCAGAGGAAAGAAAACATGCCCTTGAAGCCAACCATCTAGGCAGTAGGTCACAGCGACATGATTTACCATCTAGTTTTGTTTGGGTTGCAATAAAAAAAAAAAAAAAACAGCCTACGACCAAACATTGTGGAAGGTATTACTTCAGGTGCACACTGTCAAAAAAGAAGGCCTGGGCTTTAATGGGATCTGTCTATGCCATGACGTTTTAACATATTAACAAGAAGCTCCAACCATCCATAAGGTGCAGGCAGATGAAGGCTCTTACCTTACAGGCAATGCAGGTTTGTATTTTCCTATGGCCAAAGGGATGCATATATGTAATCAGCCCATCTGTCACTCTGACCAACACAATGACACCAGCATCCATCTTGTTCTTTCTGTCTAGTTGACCAAGAAAAAAATAAGAGAAAGCTTTACGTTGAGTGAAGGGACAAGTCTCCTGAGACAATGGATGTTGCTTGCTCAGGGAAAAGTCACATTTGCAGTTGCACTTAGTGCTGCTGTCACAAAAAGGATTTCTTTTTATCTTGATGCTGCCTGCCAGCCCCCACCCCCCCCCCCCCCCCAATTTCAGCTCTAAAATTTCAAGGAAATGGGTCCTTTTAGACCATGAGTGCAATTGTTTACTGGCAAGATTTTTTTTTTCAGTGACAGGGATTATAAACTAAAGAAAAATCAATGATTTTCTCAAATGTTTTGAGAAACATGACTGGATCATTTACGGTATGTTAATCAGACTTGCAAGTTTTTATTCTTTGCATTTCTCTACATAGATGTACATACAGTTCAAATATTTACATCTCTTCATCATAGGCATTCATTCAACCTTTATTCAGACAGGTTAATCCCATTGAGCCTCAGGAACTCATTTACATGTGTCATTATAAATTTGGACCCTTACAAAATGTTTTAACCATGTTTTTCAGGTTGGAATAATTATCTAACCTAATGGGTTTTTTTTAAACAAGAGTTGGTTGCACAAGTTTAAATTTATTGTAGATTTGCTCTAATCAGCAAAGGGTCAATGTTTTACGTTTAGGCTCCATTATGTACACAGTGAGGAAGAGGCTAGCCGAGAAGCAATGGGACAGTGAGAGGACTGAAGAGAGTAGACAGAGATATAAGGAAATGCAATGTTGGATAAAGAGGGGAAAAGGCAAAGGCAAAACAAAAGATGTATGATGAGTTGTACAAGAGAATGTGCACTAAGGATGGGGAGAAGAATATGTACCGACTGGCGAGACAGAGGGATCAGGCTGGAAAGGATGTGCAGCAGGTTAGGCTTGTTAAAGATAAGAATAGTAATGTCCTAACAAGTGAAGAGAGTGTGATGGAAAGATTGAAGGAGTGCTTTGAGGAGTTAATGAATGAAGATAATGAAAGAGAAAGAAGAGGTCATATAAATTGTGAATCAGAAAATGGGAAAGATAGTTCAGAAAGTATTTAAGAGAAGTTTGGAAGACATTTAAGAGAATGAAGAAAGTGAAGACAGTAGGAACTGATGACATGTCAGTACGGTATGGTAATGTCTAGGAGAGAAAGCAGTGAGATTTTTGGCTTAATTTTTCAATAGCATTTTTGAGAATGTGAAAGTCTCTGAGTAATAGAGGAGAAGTGTGTTGTGCCCATTTTTAAGAACCAGGGTGATGTACAGTGTTGTAGCAACCACAGGGAAATTAATTTTATGAGCCACATGATGAAAATCTAGGAGAGAGCTGTGGAAGCATAAATTATGTAAAATGTGACTCTGTGAGCAGCTGAATGGCTTTATGTCACAAAAGAGCACCACAGATGCCATCTTTACCTTGAGGATACTGATGGAGAAGTATAGAGAGGACCAGAAAGAACTACCTGTGTTTTTGTGGATTTAGAAAAAGCATATGACAATATGCCAAGGGAGCTATGGAGTTATACAAGGAAATCTGGAGTAGCAGAGAAGTATGTCAGGTTAGTACTGGACAAGTATGAGGCTAGCTGGACAGTTCTGATGTACTTTAGGAGTGACGGATACCTTCAAAGTGGAGGTGGGACTACATCAAGGACTGGGAGGGATGAGGGAATCATGGTTGGGGGGATCTTATCCCCTTCTTGTTTGTTTTGGAGATGGGCAGACTAACAGGTAAGGTCAGGTAGTAATCCCTGTGGACTATGATGTTTGCAGATGACAATGTGATCTGGGGTGAAAACAGGTGAAATTAGAGAGGTGGAGGTACTTAAAAGTAGAGGACTGAAAGTCAGTCATTGCAAGACGGAGTACACGTGTAAAGGAGAGGGAAACAGGTGGAACACTGAGACTATATAAAGCAATGGTCACAAAGGCGCAGGATTTCAAGTACAAACTGGATTCCAAAAAAGTTGGGACACTAAACAAATTGTGAATAAAAACTGAATGCAATGATGTGGAGGTGCCAACATCTAATATTTTATTCAGAATAGAACGCAAATCACAGATCAAAAGTTTAAACTGAGAGAATGTATAATTTTAAAGGAAAAATCTGTTGTTTCCAAATTTCATGGCATCAACAAATCCCAAAAAACGTTGGAACAAGTAGCAATAAGTGGCTGGAAAAAGGAAATTGAGCATATAATGAACAGCTGGAAGACCAATTAACACTAATTAGGTCAATTGACAACATGAGTGGGTATAAAAAGAGCTTCTCAGAGTGTCAGTGTCTCTCAGAAGCCAAGATGGTAAGAGGATCACCAATTCTACCATTGTTGCACAGAAAGATAGTGCAGCAATATCAGAATGGTGTTACCCAGCGTAAAATAACAAAGACTTTTAAGTTATCATCATCAACCTTGCATAACATCATCAAAAGATTCAGAGAATCTGTAACAATCGCTGTGCGTAAGGGTCAAGGCCGTAAAACTCTACTGGATGCTGGTGATCTCCGGGCTCTTAAACGTCACTGCACCTCAAACAGGAATGCCACTGTCAAGGAAATAACAGAATGGGCTCAGGAATACTTCCAGAAAGC